GGGGGGGAGGAATTACCCTGTCCCTTCCCAGTGATGTATCACTTGAAAATATGACCTCTCTAAAATACCCTACAGTACTCACAAGATTGTTGACAACCCTTTCATTTGGGTCACGCAAAATAGTATGATCCTTCAAATTTCCATTTTCCCGCCCGTCCTCCCTCGATCGATTCATCGTGTATTTTTGCGGCTAACTTTCATTGCACGTATTGCGTTTCAGAAAGTATAAAACTCGATGAGATGGCATCTGGTCAGCACAAAAACGTCGACAAAGATGATGACCTTTTCGGGGGAGAATCTGACCAAGGGTCAGGACAAAGAATAACCCTGGACCAACCAGAAAGTCCAGTCCATTCTACTCTTTTGAGTGATAGACAAGTTGACAAGTTAATCCAGGCGGAAGACTTGGGAGTAAGTGGAGTTTCTGATAGCGACACTTCGGGTAAATCCCCAAACAATGTTCCGAATTTTAAGAGTTCTGCAAACTCGTTAGAAGAACCAGAAATTTTTAGTCCAAAAGACAACAGTAAAAACCAGAAACTGAATGATGATAGCAATATGGAAAATGAAGCACAAATTAAAGTTGATAAGCCAGAGGTTCCGTCAAATGACGCGCTAAATCAACCAGTAAAAATTCCACCTTATCAAGAAACTAAGCCAGCAGTACAAGTAAATGCGGCTTCAGAAGATAGCGCAGCCGCATTACAGCCACAGGTTACTACTGATACAGCGTCTGTAGCGCTAGCGCCACAACCTCAGACGTCATTGGACACATCTGTACAACAGCAACAGGTATTTAACGATGACTTAGCTGCAACACAGCCAGTGGCACCACTGAATACGGACAGTACAGCAGCAACACAATCACAGTCTCCGATAGATACAAATGTGCAGCAGACGCAATCATTTGTCGCGGATAAAACAGCACAACCAGAGACTGCAATGAATACAGTTTCTGACCAATCGCAATCCTTTATTCAATCAGCGACGCCAGTGCAACCGGAAGTGCAGCCAGCGAATAGTGCTTACAGCGCAGCCGCACTCCAGACTGCAGATGCTTCAGCTCCACAGCAAACATTCGACGATGCTGCAGCCTTTTCTACACCCCAAGCTGATAACCAGGGGAACACAGTAAGCGCCTACAATACTCAGCAGCCAGCGGAGACAACCAGCAATGCAGCCGCAACGCAGCAGTGGGATACCACAGCACCACAGGAAACCCAACAATACAACGACGCAGCCGCTTCTTCACAACAGGCAGCCCAAACACCAGCCCAGACCAGCACAACGAATAGCTACGCACCTGAGGGTAATGACTCGTTACTTGTATTGTAATTTATATTTTCTTTTATGTTGGTTTATGAACCTGACATCTTATTGTCCTCAGACTGTTGTTTCTGATTGGATACCAGGTAGGTCTATTCAATTATATATGCCACTAAATTAGTGAGAAACCTCTTGAGCAAGGTTTTGATGATTTAGTTATGATTCATGTGTTTTACCGGCAACGAAAATTAATTTCCTAGAAGATCCGCTATTGGTGTCAGGAGCGGGAGACTGAACACGGAAAATAAGTCAGAACAGAAGAAAAAGATTTCATTCAGTTAAAAGCTTGATCTGGGTCTTATAAATGATACTATATGAATGAGTTTATTTATCAATTTGTTGCAATTTACTTTTAAAAAGAACCTAAATTAAAAAAATGTGAGCCTAATTAACACAAAAAATATTTATACTGGCTGTTGAACCACAGACAGCTCTCAAAAGTACTTTTATACATTGTTAGAACTGGGCATTTGGCAAAGAATTGATTTTTTCACGAAATGTCCAGCTGCTGAAGGTTATTTTTAGAGTTGCAACAATTTGAAGACAAAGAAAAGCATATGTACATGTACATTGTTTTGACAAGTGACTTGTAAAAAAGTGTATCAAGTGTCCATCCTCAGAAATAACAGCGAATTAGTTTTTATTTTATAATTACCAATGAAATATCTATTTTTCTCCATTTCGAAAAATTGATATCTTCACACGTGAAAATAACACCATTGCGATGGCTATTCAAAAATACACGGAAAGAATTGCCTGAAAAAGCCAAAACATAATTCATTGATAATTATATAATAAACAGAATATTACATGGACGCTTGGAGATACGAAATTTATCTTCTCGTGTTGAAAATCTCTCACTCGTTCGCTGTGCTCACTTGTGAGAGATCTTTTCAACACTCGAAGATAAATTTCGTATCTCCGCGCGCCCATGTAATATCCTCTATATATGCCACCCTTTCGCTATATACCCACCGCTTTCGTTGCCAAGTTATAAGCTACATTGGAGAACTCGGAAGAACTATTGATCAAAGAATAAAATATCACGATTTAGCAACTAAAAAAGAGCATCTTATTCATACATTTGGAGAGCGCTAAACGGTCAATGAGAATGGAATGTAGCAACATTGAAATAGCTTCCCATTGTTTTTTCGCCTGTCAATCACAATTACGACGCCACGTTCGATATCTTAGTCGTATGCATGGTACCAAGACGTGTATTGATACTTAGTTACCAAACATTCCTTTTATGCGTATTTATTGGTGTAGAAGTGAAATAGTGTACCAAATACGACATTTTCTACCCTTTTGGCAATAATACACATTTTTTTTAGGAATAGTGACCACAGTAAATCCGTGAAACACTAATTACTAAATAGTACAAAATAGTGCTAGTTAAACAATAGAAAACAATGGAATTTGCATGAAATTGTGCTATTTAGTATTACTAAAGTTTCACGGATTTACTGTGGTCACTCTACTTGAAATTTCACTACTCGACGACGTTATAAACAAAAACTACAACATTATAGGCTACCTATCCTATTATAGTTTAACAATTGTGAACATTTTATTCTGGAGATTCTTGGTATGGTGCTAGAGTTTTACTAGAGTAGTTTTCGTATGACTGTGAAAAGCTCACGGCAAGAACACGGTCTTGACACGGCAAGACATGCGCCAAACCAATCACATCGCTCGAGAATTTACTTTTCATTCAATCAAATACCCGAAACACGGCACGATCACGACGCAGACACAGTTACTCGTCAAGGTCACGGCGCTGTCAGACCAATCACATTGCGCGGGGGGAAAATTAGTCAATTAAAATTCTAGAATACATCACGGTAATGGCACGGCACGCTTACAGCACACGCGAGCTTTTCACAGTCGTACGAAAACTGCTTTATCTCAATAAACGTGGCGGGCTATTGATTGCAATAGTTGAAACTGGGGCATAATACGGTCAGCGGTCAGTTTTCTGGGAAGTCCTTTCTGACCTAGTTCACTGTAATTTTTTTCGCAGGAAAATCTCACACAATCCAGTTAGATGAAGAACGATACAGRACACTTATCTGCCAGAATGGCAAGGATACGATTTCCTGCCCTCCAAACAAACAAATCAGCATCCGAGCCGCGAACTACGGGAGCATGGGAGCCTCTGCTTGTCTTGGAAGACAGAGTTTTACTCCTTCACAGATCTGTAAAACCCCTGGTGCTTACGATATAGTCAAGACAAACTGTGATGATATGGAAAACTGTGAACTGATGGCAAATGATGATATATTTGGTACTGAATGTCAGACGGATAAGAAATATCTAGACCTGGAATACGATTGTGTATCAAGTCAATGTAAGTGAATGTTAACATTTCAACAGCGCGCGCGGAACCGTATGATTGTCGTCGCGACAAAATAGAGTTTTGGTGGACGTCAATCCAAACATTTCTTTGAAACCGTAGGAAAACACAAATTTTAGAACGGCACCTTATGCCTTGAGGAAACGCCTTGGTTGAAGTTCCGCGCGTGCTAATGAGAAGCAATGCAAATTTGTTACTTTATTCGTCATTTAGTACGTTTCTGAGCTAGAAAAGCTCTAAGGTTTGTCGCTGCGTTAAAATTACAGTTCGATCTGCGAGCCACCCGTGACCTGACTAAGATCAAGTAGCCGATTCAGGGTTTGATGAAATGTTATTCAGTCTGTCAGTACGATCAAAGCGTAGCAAACAAGTGCAGTGCATGCGTTTAGTTGGCACTATATTAGCGACATGCACAGTTACATATATATGACCACGCAAATACGAAGAAAATAGGGAAAATAATAAGAACCTATGTGTACTAAGAGGTTTTTACCAACATTCGAGATTTCCTGCGGCTTTATTACACGGAATTGTCATGTGATAATCATATCAACCGCTGTTTTTTTATCGAAGGCTCAACAATCCATTCGACTCTTCTATTATATAACATTCAATTTTCTGAATAACAACTCGCTTTAGTCTAATACAATAAGTAAACAAATATCACTTGCATTCCCAACCGAATGAAACGATGTAAATGATAAGGACCTCCGCTGTGTTCCTTGATTTCAGACTCAACTACTTCTAGGCTTAGTCTAGAATAAGTGTCTAAATTTTCAAAGTAAAGCAAAGTAAAAAATGTATGCCCTTCGCGAACGTTGTTTGGAACACATGAATATTTTGCACAAAGTCAAAGCTAACCCTGAGCAACAGGGAACTCTTAACTGGAGTACTCTGTGCGACAATATAGTGCCCAGTCTCCCATACGTTGTGATGTATCCAACATGGCTACCGGAACATAAACATGTACAATCTATAAAAAATGTTTTTATATTCTGTCACAAGAACAATAATATACTATAAAAAGGCTGGTCGACAGGGAACTGATCGACTTGGAGGACCATAAATAATAAATGACTGACCGGTAGAACCAGCAGGTTCTTTATTGTGTTATTGTGATCACTCATTGCTAGATTTGGTTATGATAGTCAACAAATTCGAGCCGAATACGGGAACAAATCATCAGCTTTTAAAAGCATAATCAAATTCAATTGCTAATCTCTTTGACAGCATGATTTCCGAATCTTTTTTTCAGTATAACAAAAAGTATTTCAATTAAACTTTAAACATTTTTTACCTGTTTGCTTGGCCGAACTTTTCACAGTATTTTTATGCCTTCCAACTGCAGTTATTCCAGTTCAGCAGCAGAGGCGGACTTTGCATATTCTATTCCAGCACGCTCTGTAGTTGCTGTGGAGAGAATTTCAGGCTTAGGACGGACCAGAATCATTTTGCACAAAATGAAATATTCCAAAGCTCATAAAATAATTATGCAAAACGAAGTGAAATACTGCAAGTCGTGTAGTGTGGCTCTCTCACGAGTTTGGCCATGTTGTTTAGTAATAGAATCTAAATATAATATTGCTATTCAAGATCAGGGTTTAACCTTTCACTTTTAACGAAATATCTGTGTCGCTTGTTTTTATCTTTGCGATGTCGTGAGGGTCAATATCGAGAAATAATCTCRACCAATGAAAACACCCTCAAAATGATGTGATTCGTTCAAGCAGGTCAACATCAAATCCGTCAAGAAAGATTCTTAAAAGTGAATGATTATCAAGGTTTTTTTTTTTCACGTTTGAAAAGAACAGAAGACCCGAAGTTTCACTAGCAAAATGAAATTAATATGGCTTTCAGTCGTCCTTCTTCTCTTCTTTATTCATCGAGAAATTTATGCAGGTGATTTAACGCTTACTCTCGAGGAATTTTTTTCGATTATTGCGAGACCGAGACTTCTTCATTCATGAGAGTCGTGTCTCTTGGAAATTCGCTTCTAACATGTCTTTTTCTGAAACTAGCCGTTTTAGCGCCTCGTATTCCATGGCAGAAGCTCATTCAGTACCACTCTAACCCACAGAAATACGCAGGTTAAATAATTGAGAGAATTTTGACCTTTTTTATGTCGATTTTGTGGCTGACCTGTTTTACTGTTCTTCGCCGACAGAATTTTTCGATCAACCGGAACCGAAAGCAAAAGTACTTCGAAAACATAGTAATTCTGCAAAGTTCCAAAGCCCAGGATGGTTGTTTGCAGATCCTTACATGCAGAGAAGTTACGGTAGACTAGAAACATTATCGCTGTCCCGTATTCCTCTATTCAGACTTGGCTCATTTTATTTTTGAATTTTAGTGACATTGTTTCATTTTCTTTTCCAGCCCCATCACCTTATCAAGCAGGATATCCACAAGGTAATGAAATCAAAATTCAATAAATTTACTTCCATGCATGCACTCATTTTGGTATAAGTTGATAATCCAAAGGTTTTTATTTCATCGCTTGTCTTATTACATATATAATCATATAAACTTACAGATATTTATAGAGTGCAGGACTACAACCCAAATGGGTTAATGATAATTAAATCCCAAATTTAAAAAATCCTGCATTAGGGGAGGGGCTGGGAGACCATAATTTCTTAAGGAGGAGTGGGGTCAATTTTAAAATTTGAAATATTTCAGAAAAATTCTGTTATATTAGAATTTTCCATCCTTTTTTTTTTTGTTGTTTTTGTTGTTTTTGTTGTTTTTTGTTTTATTTGACAAAGCCACCCAGACTTTAGAAGAGGCGGGTAGGGGAGACGAGAGTTTTAATTTTCTACACTTGTCTGAGCGTTCAATATCAGTGCAGGGAAGTGGCCGACACAACTAATTCTTGGCATGGGGCTTCATCATTCATAATAATATATACATATGTTTTTACGTGCTTAAGTTTTTTTTGTTATTCATTTATTTATTTTTTACTCATTTTGACCCATCTTTTCCTTTACTTCGATTTGGCGTTCATTTTCAGTACAAGTGTACGTGTAAAAATGATGTTTCTGATTGTAACGATTTGTATATATGTCCCTCAACAGCAATGTACCCAGCTCAACAGCCTGCAGCTTCTCCATATATGTACCCTGGTGCTCAGCCTGCTACCTCACAATACCAAGGTAGGGTACTCATTAGACTTTGCACTATATATTCCCTATATTTATATACATAATCTCAGCTATARCAAGTCCAAAACTCTCGAAAACTGCCAGTCATCAAAAGGCTTGTCCACGATTGCCTAGATAGAGTGCGTAGCAAATTTTGAATGAAGTGGAAGAATACAGCATTGAAAATGAGCTAAAACGGAATCTTTTCTTCGCACTTCTTTCGTACTTATACCTCCAATTCTGCGTGCTGTACTTAACGGAAAAAAGTTTTTTTATTTGTGAATATTTTTTCATTTTATTCTCATTCAACTAATTTCATCGGTCAGTTTTTGCAGTATGCTAACTGAATGTCTATTTTGTTTGTATATGATCCGTTCGATCCATCAACTTCAGTAGGTTCTCCTCCCGAACAGCAAGGATATTATGGACAGCAACAGCAACAACTAACCCCATCACCCCCACCACCAAAACTACCTGAACTGATGTCCAGACTAGTCGCTCTGTCCCAGCAAAACCAGGCCGGTACTCAGCAGATGTGCTCTTCCCAGTGTAACACATGTAACCAGTGCACAGCTGCTCCAGTGTGTAATCCGTGTCCTGTTTGTCAAAGTACTGCCTGTACTGCCGCACCATCTGTTCCTTATATTCCTAAAGGCCTGCGGCCTTTGTGGGAATTATGGAATGAGAAGACTGCAGGTAATCAAGACAGAAAGAACACGATAAACAAATAGTGGATGAGGCTGGAAGGATTTTGATTTGTCAATTGACGAGCAACCACTTGATTTGCAAATGATAATTGGTTGATCGCCATGGACATTTTATTATTTATATAGCCATTAGTTTTTTACTTAGCCTCCTTTGCAGCCGTTCTTAGGGTCGTCACGCAACGTTTCAAACGTTGCGTGACGACCCTAAGAACGGCTGCAAAGGAGGCTATGTTTTACAGGAAAACACGCCACTCGTATTTTTGATGCGAACTACATGCGGGACCTCAGTGACATATATTCTATATCCTCACTATATTATATTATTTTCATTTAGATATGAATAGCATGGAAATGTCAGCCCTGATAATCAATCCAGTTCCAAAACTACCTCCTACAAAGAAGTCTTCATCATTGACCGAGAAAAGTGAAGGGTCTGGAAACGAGAACAGCGACAAGCGATCACACATTAAGTCGACTTCAAAGAAAAGCGTTGCGAAACAGGGCAAAGCTACCAAATCCGATAAAGCTTCAAAGAAGAGTTCCAAAAGTGGGTCGAAAGGAAAACACTCTTAGAGCAAAAAGAAAAAAGAAAAAAAAGAAAAAAAAAAGAAAAAAAAAGAGGGGGGGGGGGTATATTTATAAATTGAAGAAGATTGTCTATTGAAATATGGCATTCACTTTGTCATTGAAGAAAAACTGAGGGAAAGTTAACCCAACTAAAATGCARATTTAACCAACATGGCGGCTATGAAAGACAGCACTGAAAAAATGTGTAATTCTTACGGCAACATAAACACACGTTTTAAGCGCCGTAATATCATTTCAAACATAAGGTTGTGTACACAATTAGCTCATTTTTGCAGTGCTTTAAAGGCAGACACATTTAAAGTTTTTTAATCGTAAACACTGTCCGGCGACCACAAACAGTCATTTGTTTTAGCGTTGTTACACAGGACAGGACCAATGTGTTGGCTGCCTGTGGTACGAATGGATCTCATACGGGGTTGTGGGTTGAATATTTAGGATCTTTGGATGGTTTGAAGCTTTTTTTGGTTAGTTTTGACGATTGTATGAAAGTACATATTCAGTTTGGAATCCTTATTAGACAAGACAAAAACTAAGCAGCAGAGGTGATAATTAGTGGTTTGCAATAAGTAACACATTTATTGCCTTCAAATATCTTATTTTATGTAAATATCAGACTTCAATAAAAGTATTTTTGACGAATTCACGGCTGTCGACCTGGTCAACTTTTAATCCACAGAACGCCCAAAATGTCCCATGCTTTTCTCTTTCTGCGTTATACTATTCATTCATAATTAATCTTTTTTTTTTTTTTTAATTTTTATTTTTTCAATTATAAGCTTGTATCCTTCTGGATCTTTCTACCTGACATCTCCTTAGTCGGCCTTGTGCTGTGTATTGGGCTTCCGTATATATATTCTCCGAAAGAGAGTCGAAAAGGCCTGGGACGACTCGCAGTATACCAACAAAAACACCACAGTAGACAACAGCGTTGCCAGCAGCGTGCTTGTTCTGATGGTGTATATTTAACAAATAAACAGCTTTTTCCTTGCTCCCTTCAGTAATAAAGCACTCGGGAAGTGACGTAAGCACAAAAGAAGCGTAAGGAGAACACGAGTAGGCGGGCGAGGGCACGAGCGAAATACGTCTGCGCATGCTCTGAATCCGTATGCAAATTAGTCAAAACATAAGTAAATTTGACTTTCAAACATGCCTGATAAATTGGACTTCACAAAATGCCAAAACTTAGTGTCCATGCTTGAAACTTAAGGCTAATTCTTTCATATTGTGTTTCTTAATACAGTATCTTGGTCTGACAAAAGTATACTCTCGAAGTTTTTAGTATACTTGGAGGAAACAAACATTTATTTTCTCACTCAAACTCTTCAAAATTCTTAGAAAACGTGCTACAATGCACGCATGCGCAAACATCTTTCTTTAACGTGTCGTAGGCGAGTGCTTCTTACACTTCTTGAATACTTACGGCGCTTTCTAAGTGCTTTATTGATGGATTAAGCACGGATGAAAGCTGTTTATTCGTTTTATTATATAATTACTGATTTAGGTATATTTAGGTATTGAATTTATTTACGCAATCTAAAGAAATAAAAAAAGAAATAAAAAATAAAACTAAAGCTAAAACTGATGTTATCAATGATTTAGGTTCCACCTGAACTACAATCAAAACTCTGAACAACAAATCCTGTCATAAATAAAAAGCAAGAAAAAATATTTATAAAACCTCTTTTCGTTTTGGACCGCCGCGGAAGTAGTTTTTCCATACAATTAATGTCACAAGCCTCTCACGGCTCTCAAAGTGCTATAACAACTAAACGTGTAACTGTCAATGAGAATAAACAAATAGAATAAAAAAGATATATTCATCTGACGATTAAAGTCGAACGTCGAACTTCAAATGARCCGTGAAAACACCACGAATAATGAGTCAATCTTATTCTACTATGTGATCATAAGGTTCGGCTCAGGCATGCGAGGCTTGAATTCTTGTAGATATATTTTTCTTTGCAAGTAATTGTATTCATAATTGGAACGTACAGTCTAGCTCCCTAAACAAATTAAACTTTCTCTTTTAATTAATCATTTAAAGCTAGCTATAAATAGCTAAACATAGTCCGGTTATCCTTATAAAGTATAGAGTAATTGCATGTTTATCAGTGAGAAAGGAGGCCGAAAAGTGATTAAAAAGCTGAAAGCTAAAAACATTTCAAAACTTAAAATAACAACGCTGGTTTCGACAACTTCAAATATTAATGCTTTTGGCTCATTAACACCAATCATTTCAATGTTGAAATTCATTATTAATGATGGTTGTGAATGGGGACTTACTATGCATTGAAAAAGATAAAGCCTTTTTAGTAAATAAGATTGTAAACAAAATAAGCCAAATTGTGCAATATTACTTAGTTTTTCACCAAACTTTGCACTAATATTTTGTAAAATTTTGTTAGTTGACTTTTTCACGGATATGTTACCCACACACTGTTCTTTGTAGCACCGAGGCAATTCTCAAATTCCTAGCTAAAAATTGTCATCAATTATGCTGGAGATTTTATCTCATTAATAAATAATAATCTTTCATAATCCCATGCATGGATCTTCATACAGTCCAAGAAAGAAAAGGTGATTGTATCAAACGGAGCTATTAAAACAGTAAAAGTCGACAACATGCTTTTAGCCAATTGGATCTTTGTAAGCATATTTTAATTAAACCGCTTGGGATGGTTTTGCTAGTTCTGTTCCTTGTCGTCGCACATCAGAATTAGAAGATCAAGTTCTCTAATAAAGGTATGATGATATAAATTTAAAAGCGCTAGTTTGATCCATTCAGAATTGCGAACCTAGTCTTTTGGTAGTCTCTATTATTATTTTTACCCATGAAAAACTCCTTTAACCTTACGAAAAAAAATACGTATCATCAAGGAAACGGAAACGTTTTAGCATAAAACTTTAAGTTAAACGCCTTTAAAAAACTATGTTGTGAAGTCAAACACCTTGAAAATAGGTTTCCCTTCATATTTTCTTGTTTTTAATTTATTTAGAGTTTTTTCAACCTGCCATTTCGATTTTTGGCGGACCTAAATCAACAATAATTATTTGGGATTCTTCACGGAGTTTAATTTTTCACTCCCTTCAATAATACCTCTCTTTATGATAATATATAAGAAGCTTGTTAAGTTGATTTTATGGATAATTCAAAAATTAAACGAGACTTACCTGTAAGGTGAAGTTTGATTGGAATTCTACGAGTCATTGGTTGGGAGTGTGGGAGTTACGTGAGAGAGCGCACGAACCCGGGAGATCAATATTCAACTGCGAGTAATCATGCAAATAGATCAAGGGTGGGTATAAAAGCATAGAAAACTATATGGGTGGGCACGTAACTCCCACACTCCCAACCAATGACTCGTAGAATTCCAATCAAACTTCACCTTACAGGTAAGTCT